GCCCCCCCTACAGCCCGTCACCCCCCCCCCATACCCAAAACCCCCGGCACGCACACACCTTCTGCTATCCCCCCACCCAGAGATTCACCTACCCACTTCTCACACAACCCCACACATGCATACCCTCTCCCCAGCCCTGCTTGGCACACACGGTCACTCATCCCCTCAGGCACACACACTTTCACCCCTTACACACCCCTTTGATACACCGCTCCCCCCCCCCGCTGGGGGGCAGTCCCTCCCACAGGTCAGCACTCATCATTTTTGGTTTTTGGCCGGAGAAAAATCAGTTACCCCAAATCATTTTTTCATCCATTCACACCCCTGTGCCCCCTTAGGTGTCACATAGGAAACCCCCGAATCCCTCTCTGAACAAAAACCCTTCTTCAGGCAAAGGGAGAGTTTACAGATTCTCCCTCTGCCTGAAGAAGGGTTTTTGTACCCAAAAGTTTGCAAAGAACAATTTTTTCCAACTATTCTGTTTGTCTAATAAAAGATATCACATTTACCCCAAGAAATAGCTGCAACATTCCAGCTGCTTCATTCTTCAGTCCTTACAGCACAAGCACTTTTGAGGACTTATACACCATGAAATTGAGTAAATTAAGTGGAGGTTTGAAGTCCAATTTTTAGTTCTTGAAATTCAACCTTGACTTACTCATACACTATATTGCCCTGCAAGTGGTACTGAGTCCACTCACAGCAGACACGGCCTGCTGGTGTGGCCCCATCCCCTGCTAGCCCGGCACTGCTTGCAGGGGATGGGGATAGTGCTGGTGCAGGGTCTGGTCTTGGCCGCTTGCAGAGGACAGGCTTGGTGCTCGGCTGGCACAGGCCCATCCCATGACTGGCCCCAGGCCTGCAAGGGCTGGTGTCCCTGCGTGCTGCGAGTGGCACTGCCGAGTGCTGAGCCCAGTGGTCAAACAGCGCCTCTCGTAGTGGATGGGGCCGGGAATTGGTACTTGGCTGGTGCAGCCCAAGCAGCACCACTCGCAGATGGAGCTGCAACAGCCGAGTGCTGAGTCCAGCCCCGACTTATACATCATGCTTATGAAAATCCTCACTTTTCAAATAAAAAAGCTGGGGTGGGGTCAACCTATACACCATTAAATACGGTAGGTCTGCAGAACTTTTATTACTAGTAGCAAGGAAAGAACAAAGAGAAGCCAGGGCTTGACTTGGATCTGGGAAACTTGTACTTAAACTGAACTTACAAGACACTAAGTTCTCATACACACCACAGCTAGCATCCAAGCAAGACCAACAAGCTTGTTCTGGAAACTATTTTTTGTGGCTATAACAGACTCCTTGTCAAGTGTGAAAATCAGTTGATATTAAGAAAACAAGTAGAAGACTGGCCTGATGGTCCTTATGATTAGCTCTCAGAGCCTCTAAGTGAAGAACTCAAAAGTCCTCACTTTCCGATTCCAGCCTTCCTGTTAGGCTCCTGGCTACTTCCAGCCCTTGAAAGCAGGGAGGTTTTTTTTTGTTATTCTGTGCCCACTATAGAGAAAGCAATGACAATCTCAAACAGAATAGTATTGCCAGATGCTTATTAGTACAGTTTCTTCATATACATATAGTCTGTGTGAAACAATAGGAGTTTCTACTTCTATTGCTGGACCAGAAATTTCTAAGCATGGACTACCTAAATTAAAAAACTTCATGCAAAATGCCCCTAGGCTCTTTATATTCTTTCAGAGATGACCAGAAATACAGCTTCAGCTCTCAGTTGAAATAAGAACTAAAACAGATATGAACAAGCACAGGTGAGTTTTGTTTTGTTTTTAAAGGAAATAGCAATCAGTCAGCCCTGTTTATGCATTCTCAGATCTGCATAATACAGACGATTACTTTTCCTTCCAGTTTGAGATCACACAACCCTGAAGCAGTTACGTGACTGCTTACAAGCAGCAGCAGTAGTGCACACACATGCACACATTTTTTTAACAACCTTGAAAGCAGTAGGCAGCCTCTCTTTTTGAGAAGTGTTAGTAACTTCAAACTATTTTTTCCTTATCATTTAATGCCCCTTCTTTCAGACTGTTGTCTTCTGTGCATTCCAAGAACTTTTTTTTGTAGCCTCACTTCCTTCTCCACTGCACTCCTAGACATTCTTCTTCTGTTCCAAATCACAGGCAGTTCCTGTGGAAGTTGCCTGGTTACACAGGCACTGGGGTTTGCTCACATGGAGCCACTTGCACACAGGCTAGAAAAAACCCACTAAGATTTGTGCCCGTCAGCAATTTTATTGGAAAAAGACATACTAAAAAATGCTGAATGGCCAACGTTATCTATGCAGCTTAAGTCAGCATTTTTCCAATACAAAAGTTCAAATTTCAATTATTTTATTTTACAAATGTCAAGACATTACAGTCCCCTAAACCTGATAAATATATTTACTTTTTCAAACAGAATATGATGTCCAAACTTCCTGTGCAGAAGTTCTGTCAATATATTCTAGAGCTATGACTGAATTTCATATCCCAGAGGATCTAGACCCTGGTCCAAAAGCATTATAGAAGATTCCCTTAGCTTCTGTAGTAGCTTCTTGAGTTCTTCCTTA